CCCCGTTGTTCTAACAACGTTAAGACGGCTTATCGACTTCTTGAGAAGAATTCTAAGAAGAAAGTAAACCTACAGACATCGGTCTCGTTTCTGTTTGATAAACTGACAGTTATTCGAGAAGAACTAAAAGGAAGTACATGGTCGCATAACGAGTATACTGATGACATTAAATATCATAATCTCGGAATTGGGCAAACTTTGCTTTTTATCAACTTGAAATCGCCTTTTTACTGTACGCGTATTTCACAGTAGTAGCCGTTTATTTATTACTTTTTTTTAAAGAAGGAAACGTCGGACTCCCAAATTTGTAGAATCTAAATTATGCTTTTCATTCTTCTCTGTTTCAGATGAGGGCAACAATCCTTTTAGTAAAGCGTCAATAATGTGTTCAATTCCTGCAAGTTACCGCTTTTACCCAAGTTACTACCACAGTTTTGGTATAACAGATAATTATATTGTGTTTGTTGAGCAGCCATTATTGTTGTCGTTATGGAAAATGTTATGGCTTCACGTTCGAGGGAATGCCTATATAGACGCCATAGAATGGCACCCAGAACTAAAGGTAACACGGGATTGGTCGATTTCAAGCACTGTTAAGTTGCATATAGTTTTATTTAGTTTTACAGAAGTAAGTTTCACTATCTTGGATATAATTTTACATTCGTTGATAACCAAGAATGAAAATTTTTAAAAATGGGTTGCCACCATATTTATTTATCCAAATTTTTTATTGGAATTACTTTCGACCGGCTTCAGCAGTCGTCATCAGGTTTAATAAACAACATAAATGTTTAGTTCTTTTTGTTTTAAGAATTTCCTTCTAGTTTAATATTACTCACATTACAAAAGAATTACTCTTCAGATTGTCATTGATAATGTTTGAGTTGGTCTAACTGGCATATAGAAAAAAATTAAACAGCTTAGTTAATTTTTTATTTTAAATTCTGGAACCGAATTTTTTCTTCATATTTTAAGAAACACTGAAAATGTATAATGTTTTCTAAATGTTAACTTTTAAAACGAAATAGTTTATTTTCTTTTTGTGAAAAACTAGTAATGTCTTGGTTTTATATATATATATAGTTGATCGAATAACTTATTAATGTATATACCGTATTTTTCGGAATATAAGACGCACCCTCATTTTGAAGA